TAGTCTGAGTGTCGGAACATGTTTACATAACACCTGAAGAGTATTCCTCTGCATGCGTGGAGCTGGATCATCCTGAAACTTTGCTGAATAAATAATGCGTCCGTTTGCATTCACAATAAAACTGAAGTGAAGAGTACATGTGTAAGTCTGGCTGCCTCTTTTAGATCAGCTAGCACCAACACACACAGTCTTTATTATTAGTTTCTAATAACATTGGGGTTTTTTTTGTTACACCATTATAAACAGCACTGTTTATAATGTCTAAATAAGATAAACAGCCAGGCTCTAAAGTCTAAGGGCTGCGGTTACAGTGATTGTTCATTTTGTTAATGTACTGTTGTTTGTCTTGATTCGTCTGTAAATGTCTCAACCCAAAGATCTTCTGTTTACTGTCATGTACGAAAAAAGCCTCAAATCCTCAAATTTGAGAGGATGGAAAATATTACGGTTATCAAAATAGTTAATTAATGTTCTGTTAATTGACTAATCAAATCATTGCAGCTCAGTAAAGTCTACGGTGATCTCCGTCCACGCTCTTGAACAATTATTTTCATTATCGATTATTAATTTTCTTGATTAATCAATTAGTTGTTTTGTCCATAAAATGTAAGAAAATGGTGAAAAATGTTTATCGCCCAATCGTGTTGTCCTCAGATGTCTTGTTTTGTCCACAACCCAAAGATATTAAGTTTACTGAAGCTAAAAGTAGAGAATTTGACTCAAAACAAATCACAACAATCGTTGCAGCTCTCTCAAACATAAAGGAGGAAATCAGACTCTAATTTATGAAAACTTTATTTGAGTTGAACTATTAGTGTCCTAAATGATTAGTTTATTGACAGATAATTCATTATGTAACTCATTTTACTTACGTTGACTGTAAAAATGCTTCTGAAATGTGAAGATTAGCTATATTTGTCTGTTTAATATAACAGTAAAGTAAATTAACTGAAAACATAATAAATAGATTCATCAAAATTAAAAACAGTTGTTAGTTGTAGTCTTAGACTTGATTATGATGATAATTGCATTGATTGATGTATATATGTACAGATAAATAGAAAAACTAATATATATATGACTAATAAGCTAATGTATATAAAACTAAAATAAGAATAGAAGTAAAAATAGAAACAAGAGCAACTAAAGACAAAAGTGACAAAAGTGACAGTGGTGTAATGTGATTAGTAACAGTAAAGTCTTGTGTATCTAAACCATGTACACTGGACAAATATATAATAATATTAAGTAATTAGACCTAGTGTTTGTCTGTATTAATATAGAAATATATGTATAGAATATATATATATA